ACCTACGCCAACTTGTCAGGCTAGAGATAACGGTGGAACAAAAAACTGACATACATACATACATACATACAGACAGGGCAGCTGCAAAGACTCCCTTTTGTGCTTCGGAAGTCAAAAACAACAGCAAAAACTCAATCAGACAAGAAATAAGGAGCTTGCCCAAATGGCACTTCTAATAAAAACTTCAACCCAATTTACACACAAAAAATGATTGAAATGAACAAGCACCAGAATTGAGAAAATTCAACTATATTTAATCATATCCGTTACTCTAATTGGAAATTTGAATAGAAGTATCATAGAGATTTTTTTTTCTCATACTTTTGTGATATCAAATAAATGTACATAAGTTAAAATTTTTAGTTACACATGTACTTATGTAAATAACAGGTGTTTGTATGCTCAAAATAAGACATATTTCAATGATTCAGAATACTGTAGAATACTTTATTTTCGCTTGGAATTTATTTTCGCTATTTTCGCTGAAGGGATGATTCCGTAAAAATAAAATCCAGCGAATATACTTTTTTTTCTATATTTCACATTAAACTCATGAAAAATCAGTGAAAATACATTCCAAGCAAAACGCCCAAAAAGCCATTTCAGCGAAAATTAATTCCAGCAAAAATAAAGTTTTCCACAGTACAATAAATGCAATTTTGGGTAATTTACACTTATATTGAAGATGTGCTTCTAATAAAATAAATATGGTGTTATCATTTATAAGCAGGCTTTTGTTTTTGTTTTTTAGTTGGTATTTTTGAGCATTGTATCCATTGTCATCCATTCAAATGGATATTAAAAGATTAAATAAATAATACCACAAACTAAAAGGTTCTTTTACCTCAATATTATAAAGAGTGAAAAATACCGACCCCCCCCCACTCCACAAAAAAAAATCACAGCACATGTCCCTTTAATGCAAGTTTGATGACCGAAATTTACAGTATGAGCCATCTCTGTGGCAGCCTGCAGGTAAGACATAGTAGCCAACATAGCGAGATGGTACTGTACTAGAATATGACTTAGTTAAACCAACAGTTCACAAACTGCCTGTTTTGTAACACTTTAGTGAGTCCCACTGGAATCATAACCACTTGATAAGGGTATCTCAATGTGTAGAGGGTGGGTCAAAAATAGGCTAAGTGGGGTCAATAAAACCAATAGTGTTGAGGTATAAACAATAATATAACAACCTTTTAAAGCATTCTACAGACATAACTTTGGGAATGGTAACTATAAAATGACCCTCCCCTTTTCTCATATATACCGTATTTGCTCTATTAAAAAACACATCAAACAAAGTACATAAACAAACATTGCAATTTTGTATACTGGATCATTGAAATATGACTTAGTTTGGATATAGAGCCATCTGTTATTTACGTAAGCGCATATACTACATTGTCCACAAAACTATATATTTTCGGAAAGCTTATTGTATGAATTTTAAAATTGTGTTAGTATTTTTTTTTCATGGACACTGTAGTTTGAAATATGCACAAAAATTTGCTTTTTTAGTCAAAAGTTATTTAAAAAAAATTAGCTCCTAAACCATGCTTCTGTTTCCTGTCAAAATTGATTTATGGGTACATCTGTTTACTATGAAGAAAGTGCCTTCTTGAAAACTGTCTACCAGTTGTCAATTTTGCAGGGCAGCAGCTCGAATTTCGCTACTTTACGTTTCTGCATAAATTAACACCCAGGCTAGTTATCTGTACGATTGTTGTAACACTGTTCAACCAAAAACAATGCCCCACAGCGTTTTGAAGATAAATACATTGTCAATCATTCAAAACAAAAGGTCAAAGTGTCTAGGAGCTATTTTTTTTAATGTTCTGGGATGTGCACAAAAAAGAAGCTGAGATAATGGCTAATTTGCATGACAATTCACTCAGTAAGAAGTTTGCTGATGCTCATAATTAAAATAGCTGTAACAGTTCCAAATTTAAATGTATTATCGTTTTGTTAAAAGTTAAATATAGTGCATAATATGGAGATCCCGTCATTTCTTTTTTTCACCATGTTTCTTTTTGATTATTTATGTACAGCCTTGCTAAATCTTGCTAAGCATTCAAAATAGAGAATGTTTGCACCTGTTATCTATATTTTAAAATCGTTTTTTTTGAGTATTTTCCACTATTCACAATTCTACAAAATTTTAACAGTCTATAGCCAAGACTATCTGGATAATAAAAAGCAAAAAAAAAATTCACTCCCAAGTGTCCACGAACCTGCATCTCTACCTTAATAAGAGCAAAAATTTAAGTTATCTTTAATATTACAATTAAAGTCTGGTTGTTGGCAGATAATAAAGATAATTACTCACATCTAGTTTGCAATGAGGATGTGCATTGTTGCTGAACAGATCTCATTCTTGTTGTGATTTGATTTGTTACTACAACCTTTGAATAAAAATAAAGGAAATACAATACATGTATAATCAAACCTTATTTGACAAGAAGATTACAGCAACAGACTAAAGTTGAACTATATCGGAAAAAAGATAATAATTCTTCTGATTCTTTATCAATAGATTTTACACAGAGCTCAGATTATGACAGAGGTTATCTGAGAATGATAAATTAAGGACATATTAGTAGTCTGCAAACCTGTTGATAACAGTTTTATTAAAATTCTAAGATAATTGAATCTTATATTTCAATATTTGTGATATTTCTAGATAAACTTTAATTGAATTTTGAAATGCTTTGACATTTTATACAGTGCTCCACCCTACAGATATCTGACATCAAGCGATGCTAAACATTGAAAACACACTAGGAGACCAGTCAAAGAAGTTTTATGAGAACGAAGGTGACAGTGCATTTTGAAGAGAACAGTCAGGGAATATAAACTGATATATAGACAAATACTACCGGTACATAGAGGTGAAAAAGAAAACAATACCAATGTTTAAACAAATTTTTGAAAATCAGGATGATGGATTTAAAGGCTGGCATACAAGACCAAAAGTTGATGAAAGCTTTCATGGAAAAATTAATTCAAAATTTAAAATTAGCCTTTCAAACAAAAATCCTGGCAATTAATATAGATCCGCTATTTGAGATGTACAATATGAAAATAACACTCAGTATTAAAGTTTATGGTATTGACACTGTAAACTGTGATTGTGTGATTTATTTCAGAGTACTTATGTGGCAAGTGTATATATCAGAAATTGTCTAATTTATGCAAATTAGGTTGAATCAATAAGCATGGTTTTTATCCTGAGAACAACAAATTTCATTGAGATCTGACTAGTGGTATTTGAGAACAGTTAAAATAGGTAATTAATATGCACAGTTTCAACACTAAGCACTTCTATAGATAACCCACAGCTCTTGTGCATAAAGTTTCATTGTGGTTACTGAGATATCTGTGGAAAAGCTAAAAATAGATTAATTTATGCAAATTCGACAATATACACAGATTTCAATGAAAACAACTTTATACATGTAGGTATGTGGAGCCGAACGCCAAAGTACCAAAATAAAGAACTTGCAATTTATATTAACGAAAGTGACATTTTTTTTTCAAGCAATTTAGAAAAGCATTTGACAATGTTTTATTGAAAATGAAATAAGTCTAATACTAAAGTTATTATTTATTTTAATATTTATATGGGTACATAGGAGTATGCACATTAGGTTACCCACAAAAAAAAATAGAATTTGGCAAGGAAAAAATGACCACAATTTTGGCCATAATCATAATTGGATGACACTTTGATAAACAACTAAATATGGCAATTTTGTGTATACATATATTAATGAATTTAGAGACACCCCCTAATGTGTACAAGCAGTTTGCTAAATAATTACTGTACTAATAATTGTACACTCACAGGTCATACCAGTTAGCATGTATATCTATGGTAAATTGACCTTCACCTTTTGAGGCCAATGATCATATTGTATGTGGATTATAACTGTCAGCACACATGTTATACCATTATTGGTTAAGATACATCCGGTAGAAAAAAAACACATTTTGAGATAGGTAAAAAAATATAATCACTGAAGTATGAGCCAAAACTCATCCCATGTGGGCTGCACATTATCCAGAAGTAATGTGAGGGAATTATGGTTTGATTAACTTTGTAATCAGTCTTTCTTATGGTAAGAGCATGTCTAGCATGAACATATTTACAATACCCACATATATCTTGACTGAATAGGTAAACAAAATGTCAGGTCACAGTTGGTTAATGACACTTTCATGAAACTGTTAGGCAATACATTATCCAGAGTTGGTAGACTCAGTGTCTACATTGTCTAAACTCAAGTGTAGCCTGAGAAGCAGAGCATCATAAAAAAATAATCAACTTTGCACATGAAAATACCATCCCTTTGATGTTTTTATGACATACTTCAAGAATTTATAGAAGCAAAATTATAAATTATAAGCCATTAACAAACCCTGAAGAAAATAAACTTATTAGGTCCATCCCTTTGTGTAATTCTGTGTATTTCCAGCTAGTTTTCTATTTTATACATAAGAGAGTTTCAAATACATTGGTTGCTATGATACTGAGAGCATATCTGTGTTGAGTCACAGGATTGAGTCTTTCTGAATACCATAATCTGCTTTACTCTGGCCGTTTCCCTCACACTGGGTACATGAACTTTTTTGATCCGATTCAAAGGGTGGAGGTCTTCACACTGCGCATGTGCAACATTTGTGTTGATAAACATTGATTTTTCCCACAATCCAAAGCACAATCACAAGTATGAATTTTGACCTAGGCACGATTTGCGCAAATTACCACTGGCGACTTCTTTGATACCTTCCAATCACCTAAAACAATATCTAATTAAAATTTGATAACGTCTCATTTTGTACTCGTTGATCTGCGCAACAGTCAAAGTCACCATCTTTATTTATATGAGACCCATATATCTCACGCATTGATCATTAATTCTGAAGCAGATTTTTTTACAGGATGACAATGCTGTAAATTTGTTTTCTCAAATCTACAATCCTGATATTAAAGGCGCATCAGCTATATTTAATTTATGTACTGATAATACTGCATTAAAATTACATGATGATTAGTTATGCAACATAATATGTATTTTTAGTAATAACATATAAATATGCAAATACATATGTAGCTAAAAAATTATTGGTTAACCAGATTTCTTTTCCCAGCTGTGTAGGTAGTTTTTGTATGTGCTAATATGTGGAATAAACAATATAAAAAAAATCAACAAAAAATGCAGGTTATGCTCCCCTCTAAGTAATGGTAATGTGTCACTCCAATGACCTATATGTGAAATTTATTTTTGAATCAACCACCAAATATCCACCATGGCTGAGAATTTTTACAATTTTTGTTGTTGCTATTCAAGTTTATTTTACTATTTATATTCAGTGTCTCAATGTGTACCGAATCCATTACTGTTCATTGCAATATATGTTAAGTGAGTATTAACACAGTGTATGTATGATGTCTGCATTATAAATATTTGGTACTAGCAATGTAAACATTTAATGTAAACCTCAGATCATGTTTTGGTGGTATGAATATAAAAGTAAATTGGGCAAGCAATTCTTCTGTCAAGCAATTCTTCTGTCAAGCATACTTCTGGGTTTATGCTATTGGCGAATTTGAAGAGCCGTTACCAAGGCATGTGGAAAACGAGTGATTGAAAAGTGAAATGTGGGAGATTGAGTGAAATGAGTACTGTATCCATGGTGATAACAAACAATCAAATGTATTCTCATGAATGCTGGAATGGTTCGATTGGGTAAACAGAAGTGATATAGATTTTGGCCATACTCAAAACAACTTCAAAACACACTTTGTGAATAAGTATGTATACTAGCAAAACCAGTCAGTCAAACAAGTTTCATTGACAGACTTGAACCCTGTCTAATAAATCCTTTCTGTGATTTAACATAAATCATATAATTAGTGAGGAATGATTATTACCATATTAAAAAAAATTCAAAAACATGTAATACCGAAATAGCACAAGCCATACATGGCATAGTCCCTGTTAGTTATCAAATTTAAAATACATAGTTTTGTTTATAGTAATATAGCTGGAATATAACCATGTCAGGAATATGATTTTTTAACATTAAAATGGCTGCCATTCGGCCATCTTAAATCAGATTGTAAAACAAAATGATGTGCATCAAAATCTTATAATGTCTAATGTATACCATGTTTGAACAAATCCATCTGTAAACAGCCGAGAAATGCTTGATTTTGATGATTTTTAGCATAAAAATGGCCGCCATTCAGCCATCTTGAATCAGATTGTGAAACAAATTGAAGGGTATATGTATAATATCATGTATGATGTATGTGTGAAGTTTGATTGTGATTGGTCGTGGCATTTCTAAGATACAAGTCCGGACGCACGCATGGACGCACACACGCACACATGCACGGACACATGTGATTTGCGTGATTTCATCCTGTGATTATGTGATCATGGCGTGATTTCACCCTGTGATTATGTGATCATTGTGTGATTTCATCCTGTGATTATGTGATCATGGCGTGATCAAATTGGGATTATTATCACTTATCACACCAGTACACATAAAAAAATATTATAAATCGTGATTCAATATGTACCACATACAACACTTGTGATGACTTGTCTTATTACATATTTGTACTTGGACCTTACTGTACTTACTCTACTGTGAAATACTTTATTTTCGCTTAGAAGGAATAAGGAATGATTCAGTGAAAATAAAATCCAGCGAATATACCTTTTTTCCTATATTTCACATTCAACTGGTCAGAAATCAGTAAAAATATATTCCATACAAAACACCCAAAAAATCATTTCAGCAAAAATTAATTCTAGCTAAAATAAAATATTTTACAGCATTAAAAAATCCCCGGTCTTGGCTCATACAGCTTGTCGGTTTGATGTAAAATATATGCACTTCTCATATAGCCATTATAGTATACCACATAAATATGATATATGTGATCAATAGTGCGCAATACACATATTTAATACCCAAAATAAGCTGGAAATACCAAGCAAACTAAAATCATAAATAAAACTCAGAATTGTCTAACATTATAAATATAATGAAGTAATATGAAGCTTTGATGTATGTACATATATGTTTTCTTAGTTTGACATCATAAGCACTTGATCACAGTTGCAAACTTTCCCATCACTGTAAATAACATCAAACCACATGTTATGGGATAATAAACCAGGAGTTAAGATTCACTGAGAGATAGAGAGGCCACAACTGACAGAAAAACACAAGATTCCTTGGCATCATCACATCAATATGTACGTGACGTAAATGACATTTTCATGTGTAAGTAGATGGATTTGTACAGCTGCTTTTGAGCTGATGGTGCATATGCACAACACAATGATCTATTCATAGCAAGGAATAAAATGTATTG